GGGAGAGCCAACTGTCTGAAATGTCTCCTGCCTGAGCAGGGGGGGGGTGGACTAGAAGACCTCCACGGCCCCTTCCATTAGCTCCATTCTGATTAAGGAGGAAAGAAGGGGTGAAGGAAGGAGGCTCATCCATGCTCTTCCCTGGATGAACAGCACACAGGAGCCAAAGCCCCCAGTGGTACGGCTGGCACGCCCCCCCTCCCCTCCCCCAACCCAGCTACAGCCCAGGTGCCTACCTGCCAACATGCTGGACGAGCTGACAGGTGTGTTCGATGAGGAAAGGACAGTGGAGGAGGCCAGCCTGGCCGGGTCCTTCACGATCGGATCTGTGCGGAGAGAGAGAGGGGGAAGCAGCGGTGACGCAGGTGGGCGGCTCCCCCTGCCCAGGCCGCCTCAGGCCCTCTCAGCACCCAGGAGGGGGCAGCTGAGCCCAGCAGGGGAGCAGGGCAGGATGGCAGCATCGGGGTGGCAGGGCGGGAGCAGCAGGGCAGGCCAGGAAGCCTCTGCAGGAGGGGCCGCCAGGTGACACAGCTCCAATCCAAGGGGCTTGAGGCACACGGGGGGAGGGGGGGAGGGGACCCAGCCGAGGCTGCTACCCACAGAAGTAGGGGTGCTCCATGGCCTCCCGGGCCGTCAGCCGCGCCTGGTGGTCGTAGCGCAGGAGCTTGTCCAGGAAGTCCAGGGCCTCGGTGCTGACCAGGTGCTGGTTCTCACTGTGCACGAAGCGCTCCCATCGCTTGCGGGAATGCCTGGCCCGGAGGGAAAAGGGGAGAGGGTCCTGGAGCCGCTCTTCACACACACACACACACAGAGTGCCCGGGAGGGGTCCCCGCCAACTCACCCACCTGCCCAGGATGTCGTTGAAGCGGGGGTCCAGCTCCACGTTGTACTTGTCAATGTAGTCATAGAGGTCCTCGGTGCCCAAGACCTTGGCGATGCGCACCAGCTGGGGAAGGGAAGGAGCCAGAAGGGAGAGTCACTCGGCCTCCTCCCCAAAAGGCGAGTGGACTCCCTTGTTCTTGGGAAAACGTTTCCCTTCTCATCCCGGAAGCTTCTCCGGGACTTCTCCAGAGCCAAAGAAGCTTCTTGGATGGGAAGCAAAACAAGAAAGGAAAGGAAAGGAAAGGAAAGGAAAAAGGAAAGGAAAAAGGAAAGGAAAAAGGAAAGGA